CGATAGGTCCATATGAACAGGATCCTTCCCTCTTTTTCTCGGACTGGGCCCTGTTCATATACGTTCTTGGCAGATGATCCAGAAGTGGTTTGCCATTGCCTTCTTCTGTGTGTGAATGGAGTAATTGTTGGGATGCCACGGAGAAATCGGGTAAGCCCCCGGAGGAAAACTCTGTGTTGCCTAGACCACGGCCTTGCCCAACACAAGTTATAAATTCGGGCACCGCCAGGAATCGAACCCGAGACCCCAGGATTACAAGGCCAGCCTTCTAACCACTAGACCACCGTGGCACGTGCAAATATAAGGCAATGTTAATTTTTATATGAGTTACCTCTGGCAATCCATATACACATTTAAATACTTTCTTGCTTCTAAGTGACTGACTTTTGCTTGCAATGGATACACAGTCAGCCACATACTGATATGACATGTTTTACTGTTGTTCCTATGGTATTCTAACGTCATAAATAGCTTACACTGTCCATTTTCTGAAGTAGAATGGACATATAAAACAATTATAATAAATTAAATAGTTATTAATATTTTCATGTGTAATTTCTGCACATTCATCTAGTCTTTGAAAGCCAAAATGCACAATACAAAATATTGTTTTATAAGAATTCTACAAGGAATGTTACCTTTCATTGATGTTGTTCTGGATTTCTCCATGGCACATGAGCTTCAGGAATGGCTGTGAGAGAGGAAGATCCACTAGTCTATTGTCTTGCAACACCTTCGCTAGGAACACACCAAGGAACCAGAAATACTTCACGGCTTTATCACAGGCAGGAGAGTCTTGCGGCAGAGGCGCAGGAAAAAGGCCTGATGGCCGTCGAACGTAATAGCCAGGCGGCTTCATGCCCTCGCCTAAGTCCAGTGGCACATCTGAGCTCTCTGTTTCTGTCTGCTCGTCATCATCACATAGCCACATGCCGAGGTCTCGTCGCTGTAATTCTGCAGCTACCAACGCATAAAATTCTAGTGTTGGGCCAAGTCCTGTACCTTCCTCTCCTTGGAATTCAACCTGGAATTACAAAATTGGAAGGAAATCTTGGTTAAGGATATTTACTGAGGGTGATTACCTCCATGTACTAATCTCTGGAATAAGACAAAACAATTTAACAATACATAACACAAAGAGACTATGCACTACTGGGAAGCAAAGAAAGGCACCCAAAGAGCTTAATAATCAGCAACAGTGTTTAAAATCCAACTTTCTTGAGAGTGTGAGGTTACATTTCACATGCATACAAAAGAACAGATGAATGCTCATTTAAATTTCTAACAATAGTAAGAGATGAATGAAAACTGCTTCCATTCAAAATGTGAACTGATGCCTGGAGACATGAGAGTATTAAAGTTCTTGGGAGTTCAGAAAGTTTAAAGAAACACAGGCACATATCTTAAAAAATTCAGAAATTAATTTACTTCATGTCTGGTATATAGAAGGGTCCAGGTATCCAGATGATGATTTGACTAATAGACCAAAATTTTAAATTTTCTATGGCAATCTTGTTCTAATGATTTGGTATTTTTCTATTAACACAACTAAATTGACTCTGAATTTCTTTCACTAATTACAAGCAAAATAAATATGAACAGTTCCATTACCAAAGATTGAAAGGGATAGCACCAGGTATAAAATCCGAGAGTTAACAGTGAGTAGAAAGACAATGAATTTTTTAGACAATAACTCTCTTGTATGTCACATATCACATGATCTAAGGAATGCCCCAGTGGCCTCGTGAGCGTGGAAGACTGTCATGCCATGACAAGAAGATTGAGAGCTGATATTAAAGACTGTGTCTATGAATTTTATGTTTTACTATGTTTGTTGAAAACTTATAATTTCTAGTGTTGGAATAAAACATGCTACAGAATGTAACTAAGATTAAATTTATAATTAAATGAGACCTACGATCTTCAAAGCAGTAAAAATGAGTGTGGTCTTCGGGGTTATGATCGCAAGTAGTCATATAGGTGAAGATTTCCGTCTTCTGGGTTGTTGCGCTGTGTAGTCTGGTCGATGTTAACCAACGTTTCAGAGGTCATACTGCCTCCGTCATCAGGCCCTGATGACGGAGGCAGTATGACCTCTGAAACGTTGGTTAACATCGACCAGACTACACAGTGCAACAACCCAGAAGACGGAAATCTTCATACTCACCTCTGTGAGAACCTCAAGTCTTACACAGTCATATAGGTGGTTACCAACATTTCAGAGAACCTAAAATCTGCCACCTGAAAATGGAGAGCTATGTTTGCCCCCCCCCAACCAAATCAACTGCAGGACTATAGGTTGCTCCCCCCACCCTCAAATCCTGAAACATGTAAACAGTTTCAATGTATAAAGAAGCTCTTTTGTCAACACTTAACATTTTATAGGACTAAAAATGGGGCCAAGTATATAGTGACAGCATCCATGACAAACTTAAATCATGGCATAACTCATTCACCCAAGTTTAAAAATTTGAAATTAGTGTGCATGGATTATGTGATGTCCTGGTTTCCAGCATGTGATTTATCAACAATAGTGCACCTCCAAAATGCTCTTCCTGTCCGCATGTATCTTCATGACTTGCGTGGCCCAGTCCAGCAGCTGCTCTCCACGAGGAACCTTCACCCGCTCGTGCTTCAGACGCCCAACTCTGAATTCATGAGGATCCTCTCTTCGAGGTGAAAGACCAGGTGCTCGTTGCCTTTCCAAGGTTACATCACGTTGGGTTTGTAGCCATACTATTGACCTGTTGCAAATAATTACTTTAGACAGGGTCGTACTTAAAAGTCAGTCTATACCAACACAAAGTAGAATAAAGCAAATAAATGAGACTAGCTCTAGGGATGCTCTATCAGTGACAACACATGCTGTAACTTCAATAACTTTGTAGTTGTACATTCACTTCACTTCTGAAACTATTCCATGAATGTTCATTTTGGTTATGTACACTAAAAGTTGTCTGAAAATATGTCTTAGTTCATATATCCACAATATAACCTCTATTTTACATAATGTTTACACAATGAAAGATTGCACTGTGCCACAAACCATATGAACACCATCTTTTCTCATATTGTCATGGAAACCTCAAATCCAAAGTATAATTTATCTAAGAAATGACTCAACTGATACACAACTAAGCACAGATTCCGTCAAGATTTACATTTCCTATTTACAATACTTCGTTAATATGGTGTATATTTAATGCCATACAAAGACAAATTATTCAAGTATATACACAAAATTATATATATTTATTTTGTACAGTCTATACACAAACATTTGAAGTTTATTGGTGTTGTAAAAATTATATAATATTAAAGCATTTTGTTGTGTAAAATATTATATTAGCGCTCTTAATCGTAAATACAATTTTACATTATATTTTTTTAGCGCTTTTATTAAAACGACATGTTTTGACGGGTAATACCGTCGTCTTCAGGTTTTTATCAATTTAAAATATTTTAAAAACTATTAAATATTTGATGCAATATATTATAATGATCCGTAGTTCTGTTTGCAGCTTTCCATTTTCATGGTAAGTTGTTTATTGTAGTCAGACGTTATATTTATCTTTATATTGCATCAAATATCTAATAGTTTTTAAAATATTTTAAATTGATAAAAACCTGAAGCCGACGGTATTACCCGTCGAAACATGTCGTTTTAATAAAAGCGCTAAAAAATATAATGTAAAATCGTATTTACGATTAAGAGCGCTAATATAATATTTTACACAACAAAATGTTTTAATATTATATAATTTTTACAACACCAATAAACTTCAAACGTTTGTGTATAGACTGTACAAAATAAATATATATAATCAAACACAAACATGACGCATATAAGATACAAATACACAATTATGTTTATAATAGCATTTGCAAAAATATGTATCCGAAATAAATGAGCATCAAGCCTACAGTAGATTTAGACAATATGTGTATTCCAGTTGCAGCATGCATTTTCAGTCTTACTTCTGCAATATCCATAGTTTAAGAGTGTAAAAGGCATATACATTTACCTTGAGGCACCAAATGCTGTACAATTGAAGTAAAGCTGTCGGGTCTCAAAGGGGAAAAGGAATGGACAAGAATGATTCAGCTCCTCACACCAGCTTGGCAGAGCGCCGGACGACAACACAAGAGGATCCTGTATCTGCTGAAGCAGTTTGTTTGTGATTTTCTTGCTTGTGAACTCTTCTGGTGACAAATCTCCATCATTCTCCATATCTGCCAACAGAAACTCCATATAATGACAAAGAATTTTGGATATTTAATCATGGTTTTTCAAATTCAACCCATAAAGTAGCAGCAAATTTGAAAGGGAAAGAACCATGGGTAGCAAATAGGTATAAATTTGGAAGGGGACTGTCATTGCTTATTTTTAGGTACTATCTCAATATTTTCCTGGGCAGACTGAGGAAAATAAAGAAAAACTACAGCAAGGGTTACTAGTACCACAGCTAGAATGTTACTGAAGTTCTGAGCAACTATGATTATACCAATCTCTTTTCTAACTAAACCTGTCAGCATGTTATCATGTTCATACCGACGTGACTAGATGCTTGGATAGAAGAATGTGGTAATGAAGTGAATTGATTCTAGAAAAAGCTCTATCCTTTAGCAGATGTTGTCACCTTCAAAGCATTTCATTTCTCCTTTTATGCACGGATTCTAACGTCTCTGCCATGCCTATATACCTATAAGAAACATTGACCAACAATTCTTTCAGTACAGTGAAACCTCGATGCATCGTTTTCGGCGGGGGTGGGAAATAAAAACGATGAATGCGGGAAAACGATAGTTCCGGGAACGATGGATAGAGGTTTCACTGTACTGCATAAAACTGTTCTGATTGTAATTAAGTGATTCAAAATGAGTAAAATCTCTTAACTGTTTACATTACTTCAACCTTCTCAGGTTCACATATTTTCCAGAGCAATTTATTTTTAAACACTTGTAATTTTGGGTCTTCTATCAAAGTACAAAACTGTTCCTGAAACAGGCTAAGAAGTGACACTGAAGGGGTCAATGAAGTATCCTGCCAAAGCGGCACGAGGTAAAAACAAACAGCTTAAGGCTTTGGCCCGGGATGTTCTTTTGTTAAATCTTATGTGGTACCGCCTGATTCGACTTCTAATGGTTAAGTGAAGTGTTTTCTTCGCGGTACGGTCTGGATTCGTAAATATTATGAAGACGAGCTTCGGCTTCAAAAGGGTTAACCAGCTGATTTTCGTAATGGTGAGGTGTAGTGTTTTCTTCGCGGTACGGACTGAATTCATAAATAATATTCAGACGATCTTCGGCTTCAAAGGGTTAAACTCACGAGTATCTCTGTGGTAATACACAGTTTGCTTTCTCTATTTTAAATTTCAGACATTTAGAATGGATGTGTATCTCACCATCTGTTGCATTCTGTGCATCGTCTTGGAATGTGCTGATAACGAAGAGGTGTCTCAGTAGCTGTAACACATCTTCCACAGTGCACGACATAGACGGAGTTCCAGGGATAGGAGTGGAAGGAGAAGTTGTACTTGAAAGAGTGCCCACATCTCTTGAGCCTCGTGAATACAGAGTTATCACAGGTGTACTCTCCCCACCCACCTCATGGCCAGAGCCTTCACTCTCCTTCACCTCACGATATACAATCCTGAAACAATGTATCCAGAATAAAATTATACTAAAATTGTGCGACAGATTTCAATGTGTTATAGTTATTGACCACAATTCATGAATATTACTCACATCCATTTATGTTATTCATACTTTGGAACAGATCTAATCCATGAGATCTTTTAAGCATTTAACATTAAAACATTCTTAAAAGCTAATTTTGGTATTGAGGGGCTAGTGTAACGCAAGCCCAAATTTAGATTTTTCACTAAAAGTGACAATCCAAATAGTAGAATAAGCACAAAATAAATTTCACCAATAATTTTTTGCATAGGCCCCCAAAAGCAGCATACACAGGATTTAATTACTGTGAGGAATGTTTTGAATAACTGCTTTAACACTAATTACATATCATTACACGTACACCACTTACAAATCAACAACGCTTCTGACATCGTTTCACATCTTCATACCAACTGGAACTAAAGTGTGTTAAAATAATACAGCAGGTATCTGAGCCCATAAATTAATTCTAAACAATTTCATGACACAAACTGGCAGTAAAATCCAGTGTTCTTCTTCGACCTTTAAAAATGAAAAATTTTGAAGTCAGTGAAGAGAATCAAAACTGTTTACAAATTTTTATAATTAATAAACTAAATGGTTACAACAAAATCCACCTTTTAGATACAATGGATTTCAATATCAAAATGAGGAAATTTAACACTGAGTTAATGAAGAAAAAACTGCACTGTTAAAATAACATTAAGCTAAAAATTCTGAATATATGAAAATATGAAATAAGGCCTCCATTTTAAATAAACAAACAAATCAATATGCCAACCAGTTCCATGGTATAAGGTCTTCCTTGAGGAGTCAAACAGCTATCCACATGATCATGAAATTCCTAGTTATGGAACACAGAGGTCATGTGTTATATTTCAGAAAACAGTAATAAATTTGCTAGACCTATGAACCAGCTGTCACTCTCTGCAGACTCAGCATTTTAAAGAACTGTATGGTTAACTAACGTGTAAGTTGGTTCCCAAATACGGCGTAGTTTTTCTTGCCGGCTGCCAAGGTCTGCCAACTGTACCAATTGCTGCACTGCACGAAATATTGTCCAGTTTGGTTCAGTCAGTTCCACTTCAACATCCTGCACCTATGAAAATTATGATCAAATTTTATATTTTCCATAGTTCAAACAACATCTTACATGCAAAGATTACAAATTGTACAACGGTTCAAAATTATAAAAATCCAGAGCATAGGAATATTCTCAACTGGAAAAGCAAGAAATACATGAAACCAAGATGGAAATATAGTCACTGATACTGCATATGTAAGGGTTGTCAGCACGAGTGTTTATGTTCTGAAGAAAGTTTACTGTGGTTGTATAAAAGAAAAAAAAACCATTTATTATGGATGCTATCCCTTTTAAGTAATAGTCTGTTGTGGAATTGCCAGAAATATAGATAGTGCTTAAACTGGTGTGTGTGTGTGTGTATACAAGGTGGAGAAATTCATTAAACCAAACTAAATCTTAACCTGACTGGCTGACTAACCAACCAAATAACTACAGGGAGCAAAGACCCTCCTATACAAACACCTGTCTTTTATGGACCTGAAGGTTTATTACTGTGTTTACACAAACCTGCAACCATTCCTTGTCTGCAGCCACAACAATCCAGTCAGTGAAGAGAATCAAAACTGTTTACAAATTTTTATAATTAATAAACGAAATGGTTACAACAAAATCCACCTTTTAGATACAATGGATTTCAATATCAAAATGAGGAAATTTAACACTGAGTTAATGAAGAAAAAACTGCACTGTTAAAATAACATTAAGCTAAAAATTCTGAATATATGAAAATATGAAATAAGGCCTCCATTTTAAATAAACAAACAAATCAATATGCCAACCAGTTCCATGGTATAAGGTCTTCCTTGAGGAGTCAAACAGCTATCCACATGATCATGAAATTCCTAGTTATGGAACACAGAGGTCATGTGTTATATTTCAGAAAACAGTAATAAATTTGCTAGACCTATGAACCAGCTGTCACTCTCTGCAGACTCAGCATTTTAAAGAACTGTATGGTTAACTAACGTGTAAGTTGGTTCCCAAATACGGCGTAGTTTTTCTTGCCGGCTGCCAAGGTCTGCCAACTGTACCAATTGCTGCACTGCACGAAATATTGTCCAGTTTGGTTCAGTCAGTTCCACTTCAACATCCTGCACCTATGAAAATTATGATCAAATTTTATATTTTCCATAGTTCAAACAACATCTTACATGCAAAGATTACAAATTGTACAACGGTTCAAAATTATAAAAATCCAGAGCATAGGAATATTCTCAACTGGAAAAGCAAGAAATACATGAAACCAAGATGGAAATATAGTCACTGATACTGCATATGTAAGGGTTGTCAGCACGAGTGTTTATGTTCTGAAGAAAGTTTACTGTGGTTGTATAAAAGAAAAAAAAACCATTTATTATGGATGCTATCCCTTTTAAGTAATAGTCTGTTGTGGAATTGCCAGAAATATAGATAGTGCTTAAACTGGTGTGTGTGTGTGTGTATACAAGGTGGAGAAATTCATTAAACCAAACTAAATCTTAACCTGACTGGCTGACTAACCAACCAAATAACTACAGGGAGCAAAGACCCTCCTATACAAACACCTGTCTTTTATGGACCTGAAGGTTTATTACTGTGTTTACACAAACCTGCAACCATTCCTTGTCTGCAGCCACAACAATCCAATCCATTCCCCTCATTTCCTTATATCCATTTTAATATATCCCTCCCATCCATGCCTAGGTTTTCTAAGTTCTCTCTTCCATTCAGGCTTTCCAACATAAATTTTCTATGGACTTCTATCTCCTCACGTGTGCTACCTGCCCAGTGCAGCCCACAATCCTCGATTTGATCTCGATATATGGTGAATCCCATCCTAACAGAATTTTCTCCAGCCTCCTGTCGCTCATTCCATCTTGGTCCAGATACTCTCGTCAACCTGTTCATCCCTTACATTGATGAGAAGTGATTGACTTCTGCAGAATGTAGATACCCAAGTGTGTAAATGTGTGAAGCCACTGTAACTTACACCTGGAAGGTTTGGTCCACGTAACACAAGCTGCAGGTTCGGCTGAGGCATGAGATCAACTTCCTGATTATTGCCTCCATCATCTGCTCCTGGAGGGGGCACCTCAAGATCAGTAGTTTGGTTTACATTTGTGCGGCCCGGACGCGGATCAAATGCTGGAATCAGTGCTGAGAACTGTCGCTTGAGAACATATTCATCATCCCAGCTGCGGCGTTTTCCATTTCGAACCTCATAGCCTTCCTCCTCCTGCCAAACATTATCATAAAACCATGGCATTTGTTACAGTAGCAATACTGATAAATATTGTAAATGTAAGCGTAAAAGCCCAAACTAATACTGTGCCATTATCAGATTGCAATTCAAATCAAAGCCACCATTTTAGGACCAGTCTTTAATGAGACATTAATGGCAACCACAAGTTTACAATCTAATAAAGAATTGTTAACAGAACTGTTACTCAGTTACTTTGTTTTTAACTTGCTTGTACCTTCTACTGCAGTATTACATTTTGCTGGCAGAGAGGTGGCCGTGTCTTTACGCAAGGTACCTGCGAGTCCAGAGAACTATTTGAAGCCTCAATGATAGCATGACTGATGACATGCCCTGAACAGAATTCAAACCCACATTCCCAAATTGCAAATATGTCAAATACAGCAGATTAATCAAATCTATGCTAATGTTTTACGCAAATCTTTTAACCAACCATCTAATCAAACTGGTAGTATAAGGGCTAATATCTGTCACAATTTGCAGTTAATGCAAACAAAGCTGAGCCTGTGAAAAAAAAACAAAATTATTACTCTGATGAAAATCATGTATCCCAGAATCATACTGAACCAAGACAGGGTTAAGTGACAGGCACGTGCTAAATCACGGAGATGGAACAGTATCACAACACATTCAGATGCAAGAAACATTTGTATGTACTCCTGTAACTTCCTCGGTCTAATTAATGAGGAAATGAAAGATTATTTTTCTTTGTCACATATTTAGAGTGTTTACAAAGTGCTCTTTCCCCTGCTTCAATCGTCCACCCAAACTGATAGATGAATAACATTTTTATGGCTACTCCACACACCTGTATTACTTATTTAACTTTATATTTCTTATGCTGTAGTCTCCCTTCCACTTCTCCCCCTTCACCTACACTACAGACCGACTGCCTACCTTTGCAAGAAAAATAACTTACAGTGCACAACTGTGTAAGCATAACTTAGAACAATTTCTATGGAATGTTATGCTGCTGGCAATATGAAGCAGCTTAGTGAAAGTCAGAATATCAGTAAATATTTTAAAGATTCCATAATTGCTAGACTTCAATCTTACATGACCCCCTCCATATTACAAACAGGGAAACAGCATAATGGCCCATCCTTGTCTCAATGTAAAATATCTGTTAAAAACTGGCATAACTACATAATGAAACATGGGATATAAAGATCTGCAACAAACCTGGTTATAAACTCATCAGAACCTGGCAGGCTGGTTATTTTGCTTCCTTGGAATGTTTTTACAGGCATAGATTTGAACACATCTTGAAATGATAATTCAGTAAGATTCTGTTACAATCAGTCCTAAGGACAATAACTGCTACCACATTCCATTATATCAACAAATTCTGTGTGGCAGCATCCTTCTTTGACGTGTATTTTTTTATGGACAATTCCTGTTTCTAACCTATCTTTGGCTTGCTGTGTACCCATACAAAATCCAACAATAAAAATAATGCAAGATATGTACAACATGTCAGGACCCTCTCTTTCAGTCCTGCTCTTCCAAAGCATCACAATTACATTTAATATAGATATTATATGGGTGTGTACCATAAATGATAGTAAATTTCTGCTAACCATGACCTCTTCATAATCATCATCATCTTCATTCTCATCATCATCATTTTCATCGTCGTCAGGCTCTGGCATCTCGTCGTCATCTTCCAGTTCAGCCAACAATGTTGGAGCTCGGCAGCTCTCCAAGAAATCCTGTCGGAATACAACCAGTCACTGAGGGCGAAGTGACGCAGAAAAAAGGAGCAAAAACTCAGAAGTATTCACTGTTCACACATATTTCATTCATTAATGTATAAATTATTTTCTCAATTTATAAAAACCTTAAAATGGATCTTAGAGAAACAGTGTGAAGGTTCAGCCTGGATTCAGCTGATTTAGAATAGAGTTCAATGGCAGGCTTCTGTGAATATGGTAACCTTCAGGTTCCATCCACGCTGAAAATTCCTTGACCAGCTGAGTAACTATCAACATTTAAAGATAAACCCTGCATCTTGGAATTGGTTAGAAGTTCTGTGCAATAATGCGTAATAGGTCACACAATAAAAATCATAAGGTATTTAAATTACCTCATCACAAAGTTTCTATGCACTAATACATCTAATATGGAGGAAACTTTTACTACTGCAGTAAAGAAACTGTCATACCAGAACAACGCTTAATTAGTTTATATGTTTCAGCAAGATGTCAACTATAAAATATAGACGCATACATTTCATGCATTGTCATGTTACTTAACATTCCGCAGAACACGATGCTAATGTTTAACATAAATGGGGGGCAATGTTTGTGAAACATAATGTACCAATATTTTTCAAGTATCTAACTGGAAAAACTCAATTACATGTTGACTGTACAGATTACAGATATATTTTCCTCTGTTTACCCAAAGGAATGACATTTAATAAACTGACACAATAGCTTCTAAAATAACCATATCACTTACACATAATTCAAACCTCAATACGAGATGGCGCGGATAATCTGTAATCTCATGGCACTCAACTGAATTTTAATTCCACATGAGGATAAATACCACACAATGAGCTTTAACGGAAGTTCAGTTTTCTTGAATATACACTATAAAAAGTTCTAGAGCTGTAATTAAATGATAATACAACACACATGCAGACCCGTAAGTGCACGCATGCTTGCATTCACACACATGTATAAACATTTTTAGACATCATTGTTACCATAAGCCTGCTTTTTAATACACAAAATTATTTCATTTGTGATCATCTGAATACTAAATATGAGAGAGATCCTGAATTACTAATACTAACATTTCCACTTGTATGAGGTAACTGGCAAGAGAAGTAACTTTTTTTGTGTTCTTTACAAAATGTGAACAGACAGGCGACATCGAGTCTAACCAACCGTGGCTCATCTATAAAAATTACAATCAAATCTTGTTAAACTTTGTTGTTTGAAAGTCTACGCTAAAGTTGCCAAGCGAATTAAAAACTAACTTCTACGGCTGCACCAGTGCCCTGAGGATGAGAACAGCACAGTTCTTGAAACATTGGCATTTTATTCACCAACTCTACCAACGTGGCTGACATACCGAAAGTCACCATAAATTAAAAACTCTAGTTCATATCGGTCAAATATAATTCCACTATAAACCCTACTTTATACAAACCTCAAATCACATTTTAGTGATTCCCTCAAAAACTTCTGAAAGTATAAAAACTGGTAAAAAGAAAAGCAATGCCTGACTTCAGACATTATCATTCCAAGAATACATTTCTATCTGTAATACACAACAGAGTTGCACCCGATCTGTAATTAATGACCATCATGCCAACAGAGCCACGCTACCCACCACACCATTTCAAATATCTGTACTCCACTAGAGTACACCTTTCCACTCCTTCACAGTCTTGGGTGTCACTAACCTCCAGACTGACCTGCTCACTGTCACTGGATGTGGACGTGAGACTCATAGTGAGTGCTTGACTAAGGCAAGGTCCGTTGCCAGCCGTGGTTGAGATTCCACATGAACCTGTGCCAGTAGGTCCACTTGTAGTCAAGCTGGGATAGCTCTGTGCTGTGCTCAAGAGGCCACCTGATGGATGGAAAACTTGACAAGATTAAACAAATGGAGCAACTGATAGCTTAATAAAACTAAACAGGCATTTGTTTCCAGTATAGAAACCATATATTTTGTCTGTTTATGATTATTTAATGACCACTGTTGAATACATATGAGCCGGGATAGCTCAGTCAGTATAGTGACTGGCTACGGGCTGGACGGCCGGGGTTCGATCCCCGACGGGGGCAGAGGATTTTTCCTCTAGCCTCT